TTTTCACAATCTACAAAATACCCAGTGGATAAAAGTTATGTCCTACATTTTTATCTCATTGAATGTTCTGTTTCAAAGAATATTCTGACATTGGAAGTATGTTGTGGGTTGTGAATACTCTTTCGTGTTTTTTTAGTTTTTTATTTTTCTTGCAGTTTAAAGTGTTAATTTGTTCACAGGTGGCTCTGAGCCCTTTATGCCAGGGCAGATGCCAGGCAGCAGCATGCAGGATATGTATCCACGTGGACCGCCCTCAGGCATGGGTATGGGCCCACGACCCCAGTACTCCTACAACCCTGGTTTTGAAAGGAGGTAAGCCAGAACATCTTAAAGTCAGTTTATTAACTGGATAAAAGCAGTGCAGAAATGAAAATCAGCATGTCAACCATTATTTAATGTTTATGTTCACAGGCCAGAGCATGTCATGGGTCCAGAGGGGGGAATTGGCCCCCCTGCAAATCAGAACAACATGGTGCTTTCCAACAGTGATCCCAGCATGTTCTCAGGCAGTAGATACGCCTCTCATCAGAGGTAAGAAATGACTGCTTTTGACTAGTGTATGAGAATGTATTTGGTGTGTAGAGCTATAGTGTAGTATTTTCTGTTTTACTGTAGACATGGACATGAAGGCTATGGGCAGCAGTACCCTCACAGTATGCCATATGGCACACATGGGATGTATGCCCAACAGCAGGTCAGACATCAAATGTGATCAAATTTCATCCCTCTTTGTGTTTGTGATGACATTCCATTCCATTGTGGTAAATATTTGTGATTACTGCACTATTTTAACTTTATTTACTTGCAGGGTTATAAGCGGCCTGGGGAAGGGATGTATGGCCCTCCTGCTAAGCGCCATGAGAGTGAAGCCTATGGTATGCAGTACGGTGGCCAGCAGCCTGACATGTATAGCCAATATGGTTACCCAGAGCGTAGGCCCATGCAAAGCCCGTTCCCCTATCCATATGGACGCGATCGCATGCAGCCAGGTGGGCAGGGACCTTCTCAGCACAGCATGATGAGTGGTGGACCACCCCCATCCTCCAACTCCAGCGGTGGGCCTCAGGGGAACATGTGGCACACCAGGCATGACATGAGTTACCCTTACCCCGGCCGGCAGGGTCATGGGCCCCCCTACACCTCCATGAGCCGTGGAGATGATCCAGAAGTCAGGGCCAGTCAGGACAGTCAGTGGCCTGGTCAGCGTCAATCCCCCTACCCACCACACTCTTCGTCCTCCGCCAGCTCCATGCCCCCCATGGCTAGCCGGCAACCACCTTCTTCCTACCAGTCTCCTCCAGCAATGCCAAACCATATCTCTCAAGTCCCGAGCCCTGCACCATTCCCTCGGTCTGTGGGTGGCTCTATGTCACCCAATAAGGCTCATATGATGGCCTCTATGAAGCAGATGCAAAAGCCGGGTGGCCCAGGGTCCATGCCAAGCTCTCAAAGTGGTGGTCATCCTGGGCAAGGCTTCCCAGCAATCCATCGGGAGGTCACTTACCCATTAGACTCTGTGGAGGGAACGCAGCCTCAGCTTAAACCCCGCCGAAGGTTAACATCCAAAGAAATTGGTAAGAAGTTCTCTTCCAGTAATAAACAACTTCTAAATGGTATGGTTATGACAAGGTTCTAACTCTGCTCATGTATCTTAAGGCACACCAGAGGCTTGGCGTGTAATGATGTCCCTGAAGTCTGGTTTGCTTGCTGAGAGCACATGGGCCCTAGACACAATAAACATCTTGCTATATGATGACAACACAGTGTCTTCCTTTGGCTTATCTCAGGTAAGTGTGTACCAGGCACTAATGTGTTGTAAGACTTGGGTTCAGAGGGCAGGAAATGATTGCAAAAGTCTTACATGCTTTTGAAATTTTGTGGTCGTATTTTAATAGCAGTTTCTGAGAAATGATTGGTGTATATACTTTGATAATGAATGTATTGGGTTTTGTGTCTTTTCCTTGTCTAGTTGCCTGGTTTCTTGGAGCTCATTGTTGAATATTTCAGAAGGTGCTTAATAGAGATCTTCGGGATTCTTGAGGAATATGAACTCGAAACAGAGGGTCAGAAAACTCTTCTTGGTCCATGTTCGGAACCCACAGAAAAAGAGCAACCTTCCGATCAAGACCTAAAAAGCCAATCCAATACAGAACAGGTGGAGAGATTAGATGTGGAGCCTGAGAAACCTCAGCCCAGCAGCTCAGCAGCAGCACTTAATATGGAGAAAAGGGAAGACTCTGCAGAAGGTAAGGCCGACGAAAAGAACACTGGTAAAGAACCATGTCCTCCAGTGGAGTCCAGACCCAAGCAAGCCAGTAAGTATGACAAACTCCCAGTGAAAGTTGAGGAGAGAGAGGTTGTGGCTGATTATGTGGAGGATCGATCAGAGCTGCTAGGCCTGGCCGGGGAGTTCACCAGTGGGCTTCTGCATTGGAATGCAGGTGGAGGGGACTCTACTGCCCACATCCAGACCCATTTCGAGAGACGTAGGGAAGAAGAACAGAAGCCTTCAGAGAATCAGGAAGGTGTACGGGCTCCTGGAAAAGAAACGGTTGAAGAGGAGCACAGGAGGGAAGAGGAACTGAAAAGAGAACTTCCAGGGCCCTCAGAGGAAACCTTGACAGCCACTGTGGATGACATGCTAAGTTCTCGTCCAGGGTCCCTATCAGAGGGTGAAACTCAGACATTCCCCTTCCGCAGCAGAGAGAAACAGAGCGGCATTACTTTGCTGGAAGATGAGCCCCGATGCTGGGATGAAGCACCTCTTTCAGTAGCCGAGGGCTGGCAAGATGAGTTGGCCAAGCGCTGCATCTGTGTGTCCAATATCATTCGTGGACTCTCCTTTGTCCCGGGCAATGACAGCGAATTGGCTCGGCATCCAGGTTTAGTGCTCATTCTTGGAAAACTTGTGCTTCTGCACCATGAGCACCCTAAAAGAAAAAGGATGCCACCTACCTACCAGCGAGAGGAAGAGCGAGGTCTGGCTTGCAGCAAGGACGAATGGTGGTGGGACTGCCTTGGTGCCTTGCGTGAGAACACCTTGGTCACCCTTGCCAACATTTCAGGACAGCTAGACCTGTCTATCTATCCGGAAAGTATCTGCCTTCCAATTCTGGACGGGCTTCTCCACTGGATGGTGTGCCCTTCGGCGGAGGCCCAGGACCCCTTTTGCATGGCAAATGGCTTCTCCTCGCTTACACCGCAGAGGCTGGTGCTGGAGTGTCTGTGCAAACTGAGCATCCAAGACTCTAATGTTGACCTTTTGCTGGCCACACCCCCTTTTAGCAGACAGGAGCGCCTCTTTGCCACATTAGTGCGGCATGTTGGTGAGCGAAAGAGTCAGGTGTGCCGCGAGATGGCAGTAGCCATTCTCTCCAATCTTGCACAGGGTGACCCAACAGCTGCCCGAGCCGTTGCCCTGCAGAAGGGCAGTGTGGGAGCCTTGATAAATTTCCTAGAGGACAGTGTTGCCATGGCACAGTATCAGCAGAGCCCTCACAGTCTCTTGCACATGGGACACAACACCCATCCCGAGCCGCCCAGCATCAACATGATGTGCCGGGCCGCCAAAGCTCTGCTGGCCATGGCCCAAGTGGAGGAGAACAGGCCTGAGTTTGTGCTCTACGAGAGCAGGCTTCTTGATATCTCGCTGTCCTCCGTGCTGAACTCTGGTGTGGCGGCCATCCTGTGTGAGGTACTGTTTAAGCTCGGCCGCTCGTGACAGGCACAAAGGAGCAGGAGCCTAGAGTGCCATCATGGGAACGTACAGTACGGCTGAGCTGAGCCACAGAGATCACACAGAACTGTCGGTGTTATATTTTTATTTAAGGGAAAGAACACAAACAAAAATCGTTTTTACATACAAATGAATATATAGAGAATATATATAGCTCCTCTGCCCCATTTCCCAGTTTTCATTTTGGATTTTTAAATGATTTTAATACAGATATTTAATACTTGGTCTTTGTTTTGTTTTCTATTCTTTTTTTATTTGTTTAGTTTTGTTTCATGTGTATTTTCTTTTATTTGTTTTAACCAAAGTTGGCATCTGATACCGTTAGTTTTTAGAGTATTTTGCTCTCAGAATGTTTTTAATGCAGTGTTTCGTTTGTTTTCTTGTGGGGCTTTGTTTATTCGGGGAATGCAGATTTATTTAAATTGTGAGACATGTTGTAGATAGAATTTCTCTTGCAATGTGTTGCGATCAAAGAACAAAAAACAAACAAAAAAAAAAACTGATTTTAAGACATACATGTATACAGCTCTGAAAAAAGCATTGTGCAATAGATTTAGCTGGCTCAGAGGGGAGATGATGAAATGTGAATGACCACCAGTATTGCACTGTTTCACCACACCAGTATCTGAGGGTCAAGCGAGTGTTGGTTCTAAACTGACTTGCTTCCATATTAGTGCAGCCACAGAGGGTCCTTTCAAAACTCAAAGTGCTTTGGTTACCCCTCTTCTCTATTCTATACCCACTGGTCGATTTGTATATAGGAACTGTACATTAAATGGGCCCCTTTTCACATTTTTTTTTCCCTCTAAGAGATGTGGTATTATACAAAGTGAGTAGTTTATGCTACATGCTATTGACATTTTGCAAATGAATATTAAGTCATTGTTTTCAGGTGAGGAGTCTTGAAACATGTAAGGGGCCGTTCACACAGGGTGGGTTCTTGCATTTGATCTGCGCTATTTTTATTTAATTGTTGGTCATATGTGCACATGCCCAACAGACATCTTTGGTGGTTGTGATGATGCACTGGTGTCTTTCAAGACGCCGTTGAAGTTGAAATGCATATTTTGAAACGCTTTACATTTGGAAGGCTTTACAACAATGGACCATTCAGATAAATTTGGGTGCTGAAAAAGCATCTTCAGTGGATCGAGCATGTATACAGGTGCATCTCAATAAATTAGAATGTCGTGTAAAAGTTAGTTTATTTTAGTAATTCAACTCAAATTGTGAAACTCGTGTATTAAATAAATTCAGTGCACACACTGTATGTGGGAACGCATAAACACACCTGTTCAGTTCCGAAGGATGCAAGAATTTGTCCTCTGTGAACGAACGCCCCCAAAGACTTTCCTGTGTGTCCTATAATAGAGTTCTGTGTGCCAGAGATAGCTGTGGCTCCCTCTAATGGCCTTAGATTTTGGAAATTACAAGCTAACTGAAAGACGTCTGATGGAATAAATGTAATTCAATGTGAACGTTACCCCAAAACGACTTAATGATTTTAACAAAAAATATGTACAACTCTTTATGTAAGCTCTTTTTGCTCCATATGATTTGATGACCATTGTTTATTCAGTATAAAGTCTTTATACATGTTCCACATGTTAAAAGTAAATGTACATGAAATTTGGTCGAGAACTGTGAACGTCGTTTTTCAGTGTTGTGTTATTTTTTTTCGTGTCAGAGTGCCCAAAAAAATTTAATTTACCATGTATATCCTCAATATTGTAATATTTAAAAAGCAAAAGACGGAGTTTCCTGGCAGTTAAGGTTAATGGGTTCTGGTTAACGTTTTTTTCCTGTCTATCCAGTGCTCTGTGCTGCTTCGGTCACATCCACAGTTTAACCAGATTACACGACCCTAAATGCACAGAAAACGCTCACACTGACGCAAGGCTGTCATTCTGTAGCTGTTCTTCAGTCACTGCAGGGCACATGTTTTCATCCTCTGTCCCTTGAAGCTTTTATTAGACCTTGTCATCACATGATGCCACTTTAACACAGTGGCTGCTTTAGTTTGATATTTAATGTATAAACACCACCAGTCAAAGGGCAGTAATATTATTTGCTAGGCCCACACAAATGTGCCAAAAGTATGGTTACCAAAAAAAAAAGCTAATTAAATAACTGAGATAGTACAGTACGTTCAAACATAAAACTTCCACACTTGTGACTGCAAGTGCAGAGTCAAAGTCTCGTGGCTCAGGCTGTGAAAAATCCAGTGTGGCACAAGAAATTGAGACAAACAACCATGTTGAATTGTCCAGGCCTTCATCGAGGCATTTTCCAGTGCTGTGACCTCAAACTTGATACTGGATCTAAAATTGGCTGATTGAACCGACTGGTTGACTCGCACTTAACCAGACTGACCATCTGATAAATAATCTTTCCAGGCAGTCAGTTAAGGCTGTGCGTTCTTGATAATAGACTGTAATTGTTTCTCATTTTGACTTGAAGATGGAATTCCAGTCAAATGGAGCAGAATTCTCTTGAGCCTCTTCATTTTTGGGAATGGCGGGGAAAATGGACTGCATTTTCTGACGAAATTCCTTCCGCTGCAATACAGAAATGATTTATATCAAACAGTAGTTGCAGATTATAGTGAGAAGTAAGTAAGTGAAAGTGGGCACATGGCATTTAAAGGGGTCATATGATGCGATTTCAATTTTTCCTTTCTCTTTGGAGTGTTACAAGCTCTTGGTGCATAAAGAAGATCCCTAAAGTTGCAAAGACTAAAGTCTCAAATCCAAAGAGATATTCTTTATAAAAGTTAAAAGTTAACCACGTCTACCTAAAACAGCTCGTTCTAACACGCCCCCACATACCTACGTCACAATGTGGGAAGATTTGCATAACGCCGCCCAAATGTTCACACAAAGAAAGAAGGCGTAACTTTTATTCTCGCTGTAGAATTGTTGCTTCCGCCGCCATGTCGTGAAGGCGCGGTGTGTTTCGTTGTGAAAGCGATACTACTTTGTGCTTGAGGTATTCGGCCAATCACAACGCACTGGATAGCTGGCCAATCAGAGCATACCTCGCTTTTCAGAACGATGAGCTTTGTAAAAATCGACGCGTTTCAGAAAGGAGGGGCATAGAGGAGAAACAATAATGTACATTATATGGAAAATAATGTGTTTTTTTAACCTTAAACCGCATAAACACATTTCATTACACCAAATACACAACAATGTTCTTTTTAGCAACGTCATATGACCCCTTTAAAACCATCACTTTAAGCAGGTACGCACGCTGTGGACGCCTAGAGCCTTCCAAACGGTGAAGCTCAGGAGACCAACCCCACACCAGGCGTAAAGGGAGCCCCATCCCAACGCCCGCAACGCTAACGATGCACCGCTTTCTGGCACCGCAGCAGTTCCTATTACACCCTGAGCACATCAAGAGGAAAAGAGGGTCATTTACTGCAGATATTGTACTAAAGTATTTTGTTCAGTATGCTTACACTTAGCTACAAATGTATATTATATTACGAAATACTACTTTGGGTCAAGTGAGACACCATTCAGAACCCATTCTACTTCTGTAGTCTGATGCATTATAAAGTGAAACAGGAAAACGTGAGGAATGACCTTGATTTGATCTATCAGGCTTTAATTAGATCATGGAAATTGGGAATTAATTGATTCATAACAACATCCGAACAGGAAGTCATTTCAAAGGAAGAACACATTGCTTTGTTTTGGAAAAAGATTACAAAAACTTTTTTTTTTTCTTTGCAGTAAGAGACACGGATTACATTTTCACAACCAAAGCAGCATTAAAATGTGCATTAAAAAGTAAGGACTGAGCTTCACAAAACCCCATTTGTTCTCAGATTTCAAGAATAAAAAGCCTCGAACACAACTACAACCACATTTCTATAATAATCCTCCTCCAAAATATAAAAGGTTTAAAAATATATATTTTTCAGAGGGGGAAAAAAAACAACAGATAAGTTGCACTGGTGTACAAGTATAATATACAGGTATGCATTTATTTTATTCAGAAATAATGTAAAATACAGGTAAACAAAACTATTACAAACATTATAAACACTATAAAAAGTATATTAGCTCTACAACAAATAATTTAAATGCAACTGTATTCAGAACAGATATAAAATATATAGTTTAAGTATAAAACAAACATAATACTGGGATTCATTATAAACGGCATTACTTATAAATGCCAGACACAAACAAATTTAAAGAGAATCAAACTACTAAGTTGCTTCAGAATAAAAGTAGCAGCACGTTTCAGAAGAAAAAAAAACAATGTATTTATGAATTGCACAAAATAAGATCAGAAACGTAGTTTATTAAGAAAGTAAATAGGGACCGTTTTGATTTCATGTTGACTTTAGTAACTAAGTAGTTTGTGTACGCAAGTCTCAAACAGATGCAGCCACCGCTAATGACATTAACTGGTTTAATGTGATTTAGTGTTTTTAGTGCTCTACATATTAGATTTGCTCTTATTAGAGCTTACATTGTAGCAGCCATCGAGGAACATGCTTTAGAAACAGTGATAATAAAAACTTGACAGCTAAAGATACTGATGTAATCATTAATGATTTAACTAAATTATTTATTATTTATACATTTTGTATTGATTTATATATATATATATATACACAGTGGGTACGGAAAGTATTCAGACCCCCTTAAATTTTTCACTCTTTGTTATATTGCAGCCATTTGCTAAAATCATTTAAGTTAATTTTTTTTCCTCATTAATGTACACACAGCACCCCATATTGACAGAAAAACACAGAATTGTTGACATTTTTGCAGATTTATTAAAAAAGAAAAACAGAAATATCACATGGTCCTAAGTATTCAGATATTTCAGTTTTTCTTTTTTAATAAATCTGCAAAAATGTCAACAATTCTGTGTTTTTCTGTCAATATGGGGTGCTGTGTGTACATTATTGTCTGTCTTTTTTTTTTTTTTACATTTTCTGAAGAAAACGTGAGTAGTACTTGCCTATGCAAAACTGCCACCCCAATGATATGACGCTACTCTGCCCACCCTTAAATTTGTAAATTTGTATGATATATGTGACCCTGGACCACAAAACCAGCCATAAGGGTCAATTTCTCGAAATTGAGCTTTATACATCATATGAAATCTGAATAAATAAACTTTCCATTGCTGTATGGTTTGTTAGGATAGGACAATATTTGGCCGAGATACAACTATTTGAAAATCTTACAAAATATCTTCATGGCATAAAAGAAAAATCGATAATTTTCACCCATACAATGTACTTTTGGCTATTGCTACAAATATACCCCAGCGACTTAAGACTGCTTTTTTGCTCCAGGGACACATATATGACTTGAGTCCCTCCATCAGTGTAAGCTTACGAGAGCTTTCTGTCTGCCTGGCAAAATCTGCAAGTCTAATCACTTAGGAAAAAAATAAAGTAATACCACATCTATCCCTAACAAGCTACACATTTTGAGGTATCATCTATGTCCATGTCGCAAACACCGTGGGACAAGTTGATACTGTGCCGAAGTGATACTGCCCTGAGAGGACACAAGTCTAGTCAAGTGATTTGTCATTACAGGAACTGGGCAAGACACATGATCCGTCGGCGTCACTGACCTCACATTGGATTTAGCCACTTAAAAAGCATTTTAGGCAAGACGCGTGTTTACTGATGTGGCGGTGGCCTAAAAATAGCAATGCAAAAAAAAAAAAAAAAAAAAAA